GGGGGGGGGGGGTTATGGCGGTTTGTGAAACCAAACAACTAGCGTCACCCAATACCGTTCGCTGTCCTTATTAGCTCTTTACTGAAAATATGTTGACCCTTGACCTGGAACAAGCGACCACCGATTAAAAAAAATCTTAGGAGTGCAATAAACACTGAGTAATGTCCCTGATAACTGACAGGGTTTCGGTGACCTCCAGACTACCAGTATTACCGGTGTAACTCCGGTAACGGCAGCCCAATCCTCAGCAATGTTAAATAGGCCATTCAAGGTAGGGTAACATCAAGGTTATTTTCATGCAGCTTTAGTTAAAGCAGTTTAGTTCCTTGTTTGTAACGAGTGTAAAGGGGACGTGTGACAGTTGCGTCTTAGAATTAACTGAACTAAATCGGACGGGGAAAGGCAGTTTAGTTCCTTTTTGATAGTTCTGCAGCGCTCCTTTTTTTAAGCAAATCGAGCATCCAGTAGAACGCGATGTCGATGCCAGCGGATTTCGAGTCCTTACAACCCGAAGCCCAAGCCTTCGTTCGAGACCTAATAGACAAACAGATCAGGGGAGACGCAGACTGGACGGTTACCAGGAAAGAAGCGTCAGAAGCAACTGCCGAGGCGACAAAAGAGGCCGCTTACGACTTCAAGGGAACGAGGAGAGAAATCGGTATTCCGTCACCGCACCTGAAAGGTATTGTATGGTCTAATACCGGTGTGGCAAGAATAGTAGTCCTAGGAATGAAAGTCCGGGGTTCTATATGATTAGTACAGGTTAGGGATAGTCGGAGTATTGGAATTAGTTTATAGGGCGTATGTCACCTGTGCAAAATAATTAGGAACGGACTACGGTTTTTAACGGACTACATTACATGTTATGTAGCAATAAAAACGTGCCATAATTTTTTAAGATTTATGCTTTATTTGTCCGGGCTAATTTTTTTTTTTTTTTTTTTTTTTTTTTTTTTTTTTTTTTTTTTTTTTTTGCAAAACCGAGCCCTGTTTGGAAATATTGGCTCATTGACGCGCGTTTTAGTGCAAGGTGAGGCGCTGGGAAATAACACAATACCCTGACTCATTAGCATCTAGGGTATATTGCACACAGGGTCTGTGTCCTTGGCGCCTTTTGAATGGGTCTCCAGTGAATGAATTTTTCACGAAGTTGTGTTAATGCTGGTACTCGGGCGTCCCGTGTCTAGACGAGTGCAACTCCCATACCTGGCAAAAGTACATTGGCCGTACTATATAGGATAATCTTGCCGTAATAAACGATATACCTTACCCTAGCTAATCACTTATAGAAGAACAGGTTACATGTTACTTATTAAGAGCTATATAGTAAGGATAGATCCCCATTGCATGTAGAGAAATAGGCTTTTCGTTCATGAGGTCTAAGATACAAATAAATTCACAAGTTATAACATTATGAAAACAAAAAAACGCTGTTTTTTTCCATTGGATATATTCAGATATCCGCACGAGACATCTGTCTTAGTATAGTGCCCTATACATCGCGCAGGAACTAGAACAATGTATTATTAAATTTTGAACCATTTAGCATAACATGAATAGAAACGATTTATGTCATGCTTAAAGGCTCTAAGTCGTATGAAGAATTTCTCATTCATTTTAGAACCATTAAGCATACCATGAATCGTTTGTATTCCTATTAATTTCAGAGGGCCTTATAGCGTGGGTTTACACCCCGGCCAATTGCCCCAAGAACCCCCCAATCCTTGTCTACTTTCACGGCGGAGGCTGGGTCATCTGCACTTTGGACGATGTGGATACCTTTTTGAAGATGCTTACTGAGTAAGTCTTTTTTAATTTACAGTTGTAAACACAAGAAAAAATCTTTTCAGATGTTTTTGAAGATGCGGACTCAGTTATTACAATTTGCTAACGATGGAAGTATCTCCTAAAACATTTCGAAAGTACTGACAAAGTAAGTTCGTTTACAATGTGTTGAACACAAAAAAATTTCTCCTGAAAATACTTTTGTAAAGGTGTTGTCTGAGTACGCCTTTTTGCAATTTCTTTAGCACAACAAACATCTTTTCTGAAGTACTTTAGTGGAGCTGTTGATGTCCCCTTTCCTTTGCTCAGCACAACAAAAGCCTCTCCTGAAATGGTATGCTTTAGATATCATATAAATCCCTTTGGCACTAAACTTATTATCAGTCAAATGTGTATGGCAGAAAGAAAAAAAAAACAGATAGTATTACAAACCATTCACAAATAAGTCTGTTGATGGTAGTAATAAAGCTCGGGTAATTTATGAATTCTTGCATGCTCTTACTTTTCGATCTTTTAAATAGGGGTTGCACTGTCATTTTAAAACTCGGTTGTGATTGCTGCCCATTTACTAGGGTTTAAATGGCAACGCGGTCGACTTTATGTAGTGGGCTTTTCAGATATTGCAGTTTAAGTAACTATTAACTAATTGTTAACACCGTTTTCTTTATTGTAAAGTCAGTCATTGATGTTTTACTTCTAGTACCGCCAACTGCATCATAGTGAGCGTAGACTATCGACTAGCACCAGAGAACAAATATCCCGCTGCCATTGACGACGCCGAGACTGCCGCAAAATGGGTTCTGGGGAACAAGGAATCTGTCGGTAAACATATAGACAGACATAACGTTGTTGTAACGATAATGACAAACGCATTGGAAGAAAGATACACACTGGTAGATGAAATACATGTTAGATAAATTGATAAATTAATTTGGTAAATTCAATCAACATATCAATTTACAGTATCGATAACATCAATAAATATTTACATAAAAACGTTTATGATAGATTTATCACAAAATTATTGCAGTTAATCATTGAAAAAATATTAAAGGCTACTGACAATAAAACGCTTCCATTTGTTTTTGATCATTTAAAGATAAGTTGAAATGACGTCTTAGTTTGTCAAAATTCCTGTGCACTAGGCGGCAGCACGCTCAGCAAGGTTGGTGTCATAGGTGACAGCGCGGGAGGACATCTATCGGCCTGTGTGTCACATGATGTCCCAGGAATAGCATTTCAGGTAAAATGTTGCGTTCACCTTTTTCTCTTGCAGCTATTTTTGTTAAATTTATTTTTGGAATTTTGACCATTAGAAGTGTTTGAATAATTTTCAATAAAGAAAACTAGCCAAACTCGTATACCTGGAAACAAAATGGTTTTCGAAAAGCACAGAAAAACTAAAGGGGCTCGTTTTTAATTAAAAAAGACAAAGACGAAAAAAGAAAGAAAGAAAGAAAGAAACTGGAAACGGAAGCTCTAAAATTCCCATTTCCTTCGTCATTATATTAAGTAAACAATATGCAATGCACACTACAATGTAATCATTTCATTGTGTTTTCTCGTCTGACAAAATGAGAAACAAACTACATCTACAATGCCAAATCTTTACAGACTTAATACGCGCCACGAATTGCCTGTCAATCTAAGTTCAGTGGCTAAGAAATGATGGCATATACATGTTCTATCCCAGGTGCTCATCTATCCGGTGACGGATATGCGGATTGACACCCGGGAGTCGTACAAACGCTATGCTGATGGCTATGTCCTAACCACTGAGGCTATGTACTGGTAAGTACGAGCAGTAAACTTGAATTCTAGCGTGAACTTAATACTGGTGGCCAATATTAAGTGATTTTGTACATTTAGGGTAATTTTAAAATCTGCTCACGGATCCAGATTGTAGATTTTTACATTTGTCTCATATTTAGGCTGTAGCATATTAATACATACATGGTACTTCAAATTAAAATAGATACCCATGTCAAATAAAACAGGCTTCTACAGCGGTAGATGCGTTGCATGTTTAGGTCGTACAGCTGCATGTAAAATCGACATTTGGTTTACAGAGGTTCAATGCGTGTGAATATTTACAGCAGTGGTGGATTTTGGCGGGGGTCAGGTGGGTCCTGACCCCCTTTGATTTCTGAAAAAAATCACTTTAACAGTCCCCTCTTAAATTATAATTGTTGACTAGCTAAATCATAGTTCTCAACCTTACCAAATGGCACCGTTCGACCTCCAAACACCGAAAATTTTAGAAGCCCATACCTAGAGGGGCGAGGGTTGGCTTCCCATCCAAGACCTGGCATTCCTAAGAAGAAAAGAAAAAAAAAATGGACCCCTAGCTCCTTCAAAAAAATTTGGAGCCGCTCCTAATCGATACCTGTAGCAGCTTCATCGAGGTTCAAAGTCTTCGCGGTTCCTTCCTTTACATGTACCTGTATATCAATTAAGCATTTTGCTATGGTCTCGTTTTCAAGGTATGTAAATCACTTCCTCCACAACGAGGCTGAGAGGTCGGATCCACGTGCCTCTCCAATTCTCCGGACTAAGTTCGACCACCTTCCACCGGCTTTTTACGTGGCTGCCACCCACGATGTCCTGTTTGACGAAGGGATGGGTAAATTTTATCTATTAACCTATTGATGAGTTAATTAATTCATTAATTCGCTTTATTAAAATATTATTTTTCATGTAGCTTTATATATAGTATGTTAATTATTTTAGTAAGTTGACTACATGTACTGGTATTTAAATGCTTATTTAGTGATGAATCTATCTGTGATTATATCTTTATTTTTCTGTTCCATGTTATTTTAAAGGTTCAAAGGGCTTCTTGTGTCCGACCGAACCTAATATATTTAAATAAAATCATCAAAGATACAAAAAGTTACGGTGTACATCTGACTTTACAGAAACTGTCAAATTACGTATCCATTTTTTAGATAATACCACAGTCACGCCACATGTTTGTCTTTTAGAATATGCCCAAAAACTGAAAGAAGCGGGTGTAACGATTGAAACCCTTATGTTAGAGGGCATCACCCACTGTGTGGTTAATTTCCCAAGTAAGTTATATTCATGTTCATAGTGTACAATTCAGTATAGCATTTCAGCATTTAGATACACTTAGAATTCTGATAGACATCAATTCATAATGATAGCATTTATTATTATTATTATTATTATTATTATTATTATTATTATTATTTACATCGTTACTGTTAGTTTCCATAAGATAGTTAATCCCCACCCATCCAGCCTCCCGAATGCACACACCACTACATCTTTCTGTACTACAATGTATGCCTAACAGTGCCTACTTGTTATTTTTCAGATTATTACAAAGAGACGGACGCCATGATATGCAGGAAGATTGCAGAGTTCGTAAAAAAGCATTCTGAGTAAACATCCGCCGTATCAGCATTAAACATCAGAAGCAAGGCGTGCTCATATAGCTGAGAATTTACTGCAAGATAGGATCCACTGGTAATTAATTAACAGCGCCATCTATCGTTTGGTTACAGCGGGGTATTAGTTATACATGCATATGCTTTCGACACCCAATATTCAATATTCATACATGTATGCCGATTAGTCCGTCGGGTTTATAGATTTCGATGATTTCGATGGTTTAAGGAAAGGAATGCATTGGTATTTTTTAAACAAATTATATAAAGTTAACACGTTTGACGTAACACGACTTTGTTTTCAATTCACTCCAGGCAAAGATTAGGTATATGTCAAAGGCCCGAACCAAATCTAGTCCCATGCATAAAAAGCCCAGACCCCATGTTTATTACGCCCTGGCTGGGCTCATTCTTTATGGTGTCTTTGTATTGTTAACAGCATAATGGGCAAGTTAAATGACCAAGTTAATTGACCAAGTTAATTGGCCAAACTGCCAGTTTGTTTGTATGGCATGTGCAGGAGATGTCTTAGATCAAGGCACAATTGAAGCCCACCTTTAATTTAACATTTCTTTAGTAAATGTTACTAAATCAATCTACATGTCTTTTCTTTAAACATTAAACATCTTTAAAAGTATCATCCTCTGATGTATTTTACAAATCACAGGTAATGAAATACAAGTATATCTCATTTGCCACACCTATTAGTATCATTATATGTGCCTTGATCTTAGACATCCCCTGCACATGCCATACAAACAAACCGGCAGCTTGGCCAATTAACTTGGTCATTTAACTTGCCCATTATGCTGTTAACAATGCAAAGACACCATAAAGAATGGGCCCAGCCAGGGCGTAATAAACATGGGGTCTGGGCTTTTTATTCATAGGACTATATTTTATTATAACGCCGTAACAAGGGATTATACTTTCTTGGTAGGGCAGGAAAATGTTTTTTGTTTGTTTGTTAGTAACTTTGTTTGTTTGTTTGTTTTGAAAAGCAATGCAGCTACATGTAATCTTCATGTGTAGACAGTACACATAGAGGGAATAAATGAGTGATATATCAACTGTTTTAAAATTACGGTTAATGTACATGAGTCTACATGAGCTGTAGTGATCTAACAATATATGATGAAGTAATTCAACATAATTTGATGTTTTCAAAATACAAATAATTATGCAAAACCAACAGGAAAAGCGAATACGTGACATATGTATCTCTACAAGTGAAAACAACTTTGATCTGATTATGAGTAGAATTATCTTTAATTATCCATCAAGAAAATACTGTTCAAATAAAATGCAAAGATGACACATGACAAACCACCAAATGAGCATCGGTAGTTGAAAATGCTTTGAGTGCGTAATAATGATTTCCCAGCTTCACAGTTAGCATACATTATATCAATATGAAATGTTTTAGTCCTTTAGCAAATAGCAAAAATGTAGGCCTGCCGCAAATGTCCAGGTGTTTTATCGTGCAAACGAGGCATGAATACTCTTTTGCAAAAATGTTGCAAACTTCTGATGCTCCTATAAATATGCAACAATGCAACGTTTCATTGCAAGCTCCTGAAGCGTCTTAAGAATGTTCGCCGCAAAGTAAATAGTTTCCATTTGCCACGGATGTCAAAATGTTCATCAAAGCTTAGGATTTGTTGCACACTTCCTTTGAAATTCCTGACCTGCGGAGTGAATCCACTTCTTGCACACTGAAAAAGCAACGGTCAGTTATTGGTCAACAACTTCGTCTATGCTTACACAATGACAACACGGTGTCAAATAACTTCAAGCGTTATTATACTGAACACAATAATAAAAAAGAGAACGGTTATCATTGACTTTGTCTGATAGTGAAAAAACGGTTGATCAATGAAGTAAATGCAAAATGCATTTATCATGTTGTATTTCCGTAAATTCCTTAACTGTTTAGAAAAAATCATTTCATTAAAATCAGAAGCAAGTGCAAGCAATCGATCAGAAGGAAAGACGCCCCCTTCTTTTTTTTAAATCAAATATGCACAGCGTCAGGAGTGCGTCTATGTATAGAAAGTTCATGTTATGCACATACCCCATTTTGATCCCGATAACACTGGGCATGCCGCGTGCCTCGTGCGATAATCTCTAATACCGCTCTGTCAGAGGTTGTACCAGAACACAGCAGACGCCTGAAAAATGCCGTTATCAATGTACTTTGAGGTAAGAATATTTTATTAGTTTTATTTAAAAAGTAACTTCTCTGGAATCTTCAAAACATAGAAGTAACGTCTTGTTGACAATGCCAGTACTGTCATTACGAGTTTGGAATTTAAAATATTAAAAAAAAAGATCTTACCTTTTTCGGTAACACTTGAACCCCAAGTCTTGTGAATACCGTCGCTCCTCCTGCTTCGACATCTGACATCTAGATACAAAGGATTATTTTAATATTTATTATATAGATTATTAAACTAAAAAAGGAACATTATTTTTTTTTAGGAAATCGTCCATCGACATTGCCCACTAATAAGTCACTTACAACGCTAATCATTATGAATATATTAATAGGAAAAGTGAAATTCAATATTTGAAAATGCACTGCTCATGTCAATTAAACTTACGTATACTAACACGGTGGCTATTCTATTGCCCGTCTCTCCAAGAATATCTGGCTCGCTTTTCTAACATAAGAATAGAATTTGTGTCTGCATCAAAATCATTTTGATGTAAGGTGTAAGCATTTTATTCAAATCTTCACATCTATTTAGTATACAACACACGATATAATAGGGCCTTAAACACAGACACTTTACCCAGACAGCGGCGTGACCCAATTATTATTATTGTAACTCAGGTAAATGCAGCCCAATCTTCAGTTGTGTGAAATAGGTCATTCAAAGTAAGGTAACATCAAGGTTATTTTCATGCAATTTTGTCCCTAGACAATTCTGCAGCGGTGGTGAGTATATAGTGATTAACAAACACTGTATATAATATAATATAAGGGGTCGTGTGACAGTTCCGTCTTAAAATTAACCGGCTCTATCAGTATCGAGGGCGAAAGGCGAACTCCATTCACTGTTGAAAGAAGTCTAGTGCTTAGACATTGTACAATGTGATCATACATGACCTATATATAAACGAATATCACAAACCATGCAGCTACAGCATAAGCTTATATAAGTGAAGCAGAGAGCATTTACTAAGCAATACACGCTGCATGAAAGCTGTGTATTCTTCTGATTAATCGCGATTTGACATAAAGTGAAACTAAAAATAGATATTAAAAATAACCATCCCTGCAGCCTAAGCCCCTTGAAATGCATTCCTTTTTTAAGCCAATCGAGTAGAACGCGATGTCGATGCCAGCAGATTTCGAGTCCTTACAACCAGAAGGCAAAGCCTTCGTTCGGGNTGGTGGTAGTAATAAAGCTCGGGTAATTTATGAATTCATGCATGCTCTTACTTTTCGATCTTTTAAATAGGGGTTGCACTGTCATTTTAAAACTCGGTTGTGATTGCTGCCCATTTACTAGGGTCTAAATGGCAACGCGGTCGACTTTATGTAGTGGGCTTTTCAGATTTTGCAGTTTAAGTAAATATTTACTAATTGTTAACACCGTTTTCTTTATTGTAAAGTCGGTCATTGATGTTTTACTTCTAGTACCGCCAACTGCATCATAGTGAGCGTAGACTACCGCCTGGCACCAGAGCACAAATATCCTGCCGCCATTGACGACGCCGAGACTGCCGCCAAATGGGTTCTGGGGAACAAGGAATCTGTCGGTAAACATATTAATAGACATACGTTGTTGATAACGATAATGACAAACGCATTGGAAGAAAGTTACACACTGGTAGATAAAAGACATGTTAGATAAATTGATAAATTAATTTGGTAAATTAAGTCATCATATCAATTTACAGTATCGATAACATCAATCAATATTTACATAAAAACGTTTATGATAGATTTATCACAAAATTATTGTAGTTAATCATTGAAAAATATTGAAGGCTACTGACAATAAAACGCTTCCATTTGTTTTTGATCATTTAAAGAGAAGTTGAAATGGCGTCTTAGTTTGTCAAAATTTATATGCACTAGGCGGCAGCACGCTCAGCAAGGTTGGTGTCATAGGTGACAGCGCGGGAGGACATCTATCGGCCTGTGTGTCACATGATGTCCCAGGAATAGCATTTCAGGTAAAATGTTGCGTTCACCTTTTTTCTCTTGCAGCTATTTTTGTGAAAATTATTTCTGGATTTTTGACCATTGGAAATGTTTGAATAAATTTCAATTAAAAAAAATGGCAAACTCGTATACCTGTAAACAAAATGGTTTTCGAAAAAGCACAGAAAAACGAAAGGGGGTCGTTTTTAATTAAAAAAAGACGAAGAAAGAAAGAAAGAAACTGGAGACGGAAGCTCTAAAATTCCCACTTCCTTTGCCATGATATTAAGTAAAAAATATGCAATGCACACTACAATGTAATCATTTCATTGTGTTTTCTCGTCTAACAAAATGAGAAACAAACTACATCTTCAATGCCAAAACTTTACAGACTTAATATGCGCCACGAATCGCCTGTCAGTCTCAGTTCAGTGGCTTTAAAAATACTTGTACACTGTATTTACATGTTCTATCCCAGGTACTCATCTATCCGGTGACGGATATGCGGATTGACACTCGGGAGTCGTACAAACGCTATGCTGATGGCTATTTCCTAACCACTGAGGCTATGTACTTAAGTACGAGCAATAAACTTGAATTCTAGCCTGAACTTAATACTGGTGGCCAATATTAAGTGATGGTGTATATGTGCCTCATATTTAGGGTAATTTTAAATTTTGCCCACGGATCCAGATTGTAGATTTGTACATTTGTCTTATATTTAGGTTGTAGCATATTAAAGACATATATTGTACTTCAAATTCAAAAAGATACCCATGTCAAATAAAACAGGCTTCTACAGCGGTAGATGCGTTGCATGTTTACGTCGTACAGCCGCATGTAAAATCGATAATTTGTTTACAGAGGTTCAAAGCGTGTGAATATTTAGAGCAGTGGCGGATTTTGGTGAAGGTCAGGTGGGTCCTGACCCTCTTTGGTTTCTGGAAAAAAATCACACCAATAGTCCCTTCTTGAAATTAGAATTTTGACTAGCTGAATTATAGTTCTCAACCTTACCAACTGGCACCATTCGTCCTCCAAACACCAAAAATTTCCAAGGCCCACGCCAAGGGGGGCGAGGGTTGGCTTCCCATCCAAGACCTGGCATTCCTAAAAAGAAAGAAAAAAATGGACCCCTCCTTCAAAAAATTCTTGGCCCGCTCTTAATCTACCTGTAGCAGCTACATCGAGATTCAAAGTCTTCGCGGTTCCTTCCTTTACATGTACCTGTATATCCATTGAGCATTTTGCTATGGTCTCGTTTTCAAGGTATGTAAATCACTTCCTCCACAATGAGGCTGAGAGGTCGGATCCACGTGCATCTCCAATTCTCCGGTCAAAGTTTGACCATCTTCCACCAGCCTTGTACGTCGCCGCTACCCATGATGTCTTGTTTGACGAAGGGATGGGTAATTTTATCTATTAACCTATTGATGAGTTAATTAATTTATTCATTCGCTTTGTTAAAATATTCTTTTTCATTTAGCTTTATATCTAGTTAGTTAATTTTTTTAGTAAGTTGACTACATGCACCGGAACTGAAATGCTTATTTAGTGGTGAATCTATCTGTGATTTTATCTTTATTTTCCTGTTCCATGTTATTTTAAAGGTTCATAAGGCTTCTTGTGTCCGACCGAACCTAAGATATTTTAATAAAATCATCAAAGATGTACATCTGAATTTACTGAAAATGTCAAATTACGTATCCACTTTTTAACTAATACACAGTTACGCCATGTGTTTGTCTTTTAGAATATGCCCAAAAACTGAAAGAAGCTGGCGTAACGATTGAAACCCTTATGTTAGAGGGCATCACCCACTGTACGATTAATTTTCCAAGTAAGTTATGTTTATTTTCCTAATGTAAATTTCAGTATAGCATTTCAGCATTTAAATACACTTAGTATTCTAATAAATATCAATTCATAATGATAATATTTATTATAATTATTATTTCTATGTATTTATGTATTTATTTATTTATTTATTTATTTATTTATTTACAGTTAGTTTCCATTAGATATTTCATCCAGACCCGTCCAGCCTTCGGAATGCACATACCACGTACTACATCTTGTTGTACTATGTAAAGCAGTGCATATATGTTATTTTTCAGATTATTACAAAGAGACAGACGCCATGACATGCAGAAAGATTGCAGAGTTCGTAAAAAAGCATTCTGAATAAACGACCTCCGTGTCAGCATTAACCATGAGAAGTAAGGCGTGCTCATATAGCTGAGTATTAACTGCAAATTGGAATGCACTAGTAATTAATTAACAGCGCCATCTATCGTTTGGTTATAGCAGGGTATTAGTTATACATGCATATTATTCAATAATCATATACCGATTAGTCCGTAGGGTTTATATATTGCGATGATTTTAATGGTTTTAGGAAAGGAATGCATTGGTAATTTTTGTATCAAATTATACAAAGTTCGATGTAACACAACTTTGTTTTCAATTCAGTCTAGGCAAAGTTTAGGTAAATGCCGTGAGGGAACAAGGCTAAGACATTCCTAGTTGGACAGGAAAATATTTTTTGTTTGTCAGTAACCGTGTTTGTTTGTTTGTTTGTTTTGAAAAACAATGCAGCTAATCTTCATGTGTAGACAATACACATAGAGAAAATAAATGAGTGATATATCATCAACTGTTTTAAAATTACGGTTACTACATGGGCTGTAGTGACTAACGAAATGCGATGAAGTAATTCAATATAATTTGATGTTTTGTTTCCAAAAAACAAAGAATTATGCGAAATCATGACGATAAAGTGAATACGTGGCATTTATACATGTATTATGTATCTCTACAAGGGAAAACAACTTTGATCTGATTATGAGTAGATTATTCTTTTATGATCAAATAAAAAATGATGATAATAATCTTCAAATAAAATGAAAAGATGACACAAACCACCACATAAACAAGCTGTCGATAGTTGAAAATGCTTTGAGTGCATAATAATGATTCTCCAGCTCCAAGATTAGCATACATTATATTAATACAAAATATTTTAGTCCCTTAGCAAATAGCAAAAATTTGGGCTGTCCGCAATTGTCCAACGAGGCATTAATAATCTTTTGCAAACATGTCGCAGACTTAAATGATGCAAGAATGCAACATTTCTTTGCAAGCCCCTGAAAACGTCTTAAGAATGTTCTCCGCAAACTAAATAGTTTCCATTTGCTATGGATGTCAAAACGTTGATAAAAGCCCAGGGTTTGTTGCAAACTTCCTTCGAAATTCCTGCCCTGGAATCCACTTGTTGCTCACTGAAAAAGCAACGATTGTTGGTCAACAGTTGTTGGTCAACGCCGCCGTCTGTGCTAACACAAAGACAACTCGGTGTCAATAACTTCAAGCTTTGACACAAAATAATAACAAAAAATAATAACAAAAAATATGACTCTGTCAGATGGTGAAATAACGTTTCATTAATGAAGTAAATGCAGAATGCCGTCAGCTCCGTAAATGTATAGAAAAAAATGTTTCATCAGAATTACACAATCGCGAGGCATCAATTTTTTTTTATTTTCAGCCTTAAAGCGGCACCGCCTTGAGTGCGTCTATGTATACATAGTTCATGCAATACACATACCCCATTTTGATCACGACAACACTGGGCATACTGCGTGCCTCGAGCGGTAATCTCCAATACTGCTCTGTCTGAGATTGTACCAGAAAACAGCGACGCCTGAAAAATTTTGAAGTAAAAATACTTTGACTTCATGTTATATAATTACCGCCTCGCTGTTTTAGGCCTAACAGATATTACAAATTCAACAATTTACCCAGACAGCGCCGTGGCCCAATTATTACTATTATTATAACTCAGGTAACGGCAGCCCAATCTTCAGCTGTGTGATATAGGCCATTCAAGGTTAGGTAACGTCAAGGTTATTTTCATACGGTTTTAGTAGAAGCTATCTAGTTCCATGACAATTTTGCAGCAGTGGTGAGTATATAGTGATAAGCAAACGCTGAGCAACGAGTATAAGGGACCGTGTGACAGTTGCGTCTTGAAATAAACCGGAATCGATTAGTATCACCCGGGAAAAGGCGAACTCCATCCACTGTTGAAAGAAGTCTAGTGCTTAGACATTTTACAACGTACGTGATCATGCGTGACCTAAATCTAAACGAATATCACAAACCCCGCAGCTACAACGTAAGTTTACATAAGTGAAGCAGAGAGCATTTAGTTAGCAATACACTCTGCATGAAAGCTGTGTTTCCTCTGATTGATTGCATTTTGAAAGAGATTGAGGCTAAAATTAATATTGAAAATAACCATCCCTGCAACGTAAGGGCCTTGAAATGTATTCCTTTTTTAAGCAAATCGAGCATCCAGTAGAACGCGATGTCGATGCCAGCGGATTTCGAGTCCCTACAACCGGAAGGTCAAGCCTTTGTTCGAGACCTAATAGACAAACAGATCAGGGGAGACGAAGACTGGACTGTTACCAGGAAGGACGTGTCAGAAGTGATTGCCGAGGCGACAAAAGAGACCGCTTACGAATTCAAAGGGACGAGGAGAGAAATCATTATTCCGTCACCGCACGTGAAAGGTACGTTTAATGGTGTGATGTTGGCTTTGGCTTTTGGGGCCTGCCTATCTAAAAAAAAAAAAATTAAGATAAGGATTTAGTGTTTAGTGTTTAGTGTTCATCATTAAACTAAACTTGCTGTGCATTTTGACCCAGGATAGATCTGTGTAGTAATCTTGTTTAAAAAAACAACTGGCTGAGTGTTATAAGAGTAAAATTCTCGCAATTCTTTAATTAGAATATTGCCCCCGTTGTAACAACAAAAAGCGTAACTAAATTTTCAGATTTGTTTTTTTTTTATTTGCAAACCCAAGCCCTGTTCGGAAATATTGGCACATTGTCGCGCGTTTTAGTGCAGGACGAGGCGCTGACAGATAACACAATTCACTGACTCATTAGCATCTAGGGTATTACACAGGGCCTGTGTCCCTGGCACCTCTTGAATGGGTCTCCACTGAGATGTTTTGATAGGATTTTTTCACGAAATTGTGTGTATTTGCTGATAATCGGGGGTCCCGTGTCTAGACGAGTGCAATTCCAATACCTGACAGTTGCTGTCCTACTTCATATAGGATAACCCTTGCCGTGCTATACGATTTAACTTTCAACAGCTAAGCAAGTAAAATAACAGGTTACGTGTACCTTATTGAGAGCATTACGCTTAGGATAAATCCCCATTGTCTGTAGAGAAATGAGCTTTGCGTTCATGAGGTCTAATAAATTCGCAAGTTATAAACATATGCAAACAAAATAACACTGTTGTCATCGGATAGGTTCATAAATATACCACACCAGACGTCATTTTGACCTAGAATATTGTCTAAGACATTACATGGGATCAAAAGAGATATCTTATTCAAGTAAGAATGGCAAGAATTGTTTGTACTGGTATAAACTTCATAGGGCCTTCCAGCATGGATATAGTCAGATATGCATCACACCAGACATCTCAGCCCCAAAAAAGTACCCTATACATTGTGCATCGCTAATGAACTAGTGCAATGTCTTATTCAATTTTGAACCTTTACGTCTAACATGAATCGCTTACATTAGTATTAATTTCAGAGGGTCTTCCAGCGTGGGTTTACGCCCCGGCCATTTGCCCCAAGAACCCTCCAATCCTAGTGTTTTTTCACGGTGGAGGCTGGGTCATCGGTTCATTGATCGATGCGGATACTTTCGTGAAGATGCTAACTGAGTAAGTCCTTTTTTTATTTATAGTTTCTATAAACACAGGGCAAATCTATCAAACGATGTTTCTGAAGACGTCCTTTTTTACAATTTGCTTACTATGAAAGTGTCCCCTTGAAACATTTCTAGGTTACTGACAAAGTAAGTTCGTTTACAATGTGTTATACACAACAAAATCTCTCCTGAAAATACTTTTGTGAAGATGGTGGCTGAGTTCATCTTTCATACATTTTTAACTTGGCAAAAAATATTTTCTGAAAATAGTTTAGTGAAGTCCCCGTACCTGTACAGAAGCATCTCCCGAAAACGTCTGCATTCGATATCATATAAATTCATTGAGTACTAAATTTATTATCAGTTACATTTGCTGACACTTTGTTCTGCATAAACTGTCAAATGTGCATGGCAGGAATAAATAGAACGTTTAGTATTACAAAGCATTCACGAATAATTCTGTTGATGGTAATAGTATATCTCGAGTAATATATGAATTGATACATGATCTCACTTTTCGATCTTTTAAATAGGGATTATACTTATTTTCTGATTTTTTTAAACCTAGTTGTAATTGCAGCCCATTTATAAATGGCTGTATGGTCGTCTACCGGTATATGTATAGATGGCTATTTAACTATAGTAGTACAATTATCTAAGTAAATATCAACTAGTTTTTAAAATCACCTTCTTTTAATGAAGTTGGTCAATGATGTTTTACTTCTAGTACCGCCAACTGCATCATAGTGAGCGTAGACTACCGCCTGGCACCAGAGCACAAATATCCCGCCGCCATTGACGACGCCGAGACTGCCGCCAAATGGATTCTGGGGAACAAGGAATCTGTCGGTAAACAGTTATATGTTGTTGTTAACGATAATTACATTGGAAACAAGTTACATACTGATAGATGAAAGAATATTAGACACATTGATAGATTAATTCGGTAAATTAAATCATCAAATCTATATGCAATATCGATATCATTAACAAAAGATAATAAATATTTATACATAAAAATACGTTTATGGTAGACTAATTACAAAATTATTGCAGTAAATTGGTGAGAAATATTAGTCTACAGATTATAAAACGCTTCCATGTGTTTTCAAGCATTTAAAGAGAATTAAAAAAGACGTCTTAGTTTGTCAAAATTTTTCTGCTATAGGCGGCAGCACGGTCAGTAAGGTTGGTGTCATAGGTGACAGCGCGGGAGGACATCTATCGGCCTGTGTGTCACATGATGTCCCAGGAATAGCATTTCAGGTAAAATGATGTTTTCAACTTATATAATATATTCAATATATATTGAATTGTATTTCTGGTATTTTGACCATTGGAAGTGTTTGAATAAACCTCAATTAAAAAACTAGACACATTTATATACCTGAAAACTAAATTGTTTTCTAAAAAGCATAGAAAACAAAGGGGGCTCGTCTTTAATTAAAAGATTAAAAGATTACGAAAAAATAAATAAAGAAAGGAAATGAAAAAAATCCTACTTCCTTGAAATCAAGTACAAATATGCAATATACACAACAACGCAGGCATTTCATCGTATTTTCTCGTCTGACAAAATGTGAAACAAACTACATGTACAATATCGAAGTTTTACTGACTTAATTTGCGTCACGAATCGCCTGACAGTCTCAGTTTTAAGGCTTTAAAGATACTGGGACACTGTATTTACATGTCCTATCCCAGGTGCTCATCTATCCAGTGACGGATATGCGGATTGACACCCGGGAGTCGTACAAACGCTATGCGGAGGGCTATGTTCTTACCACTGAGTCTATGTACTGGTAAGTACGAGCAATCTTAAACTCTAGGGTTAACTGATACCTGAGGCAGTTCCATCGAGCTACAGCGCCTTTGCGGTTCCTTTCTTTATATCCACTGAGCCTTTTGTTTTGGTCTTGTTTTCAAGGTTTGTAAATCACTTCCTCCACAACGAGGCTGAGAGGTCGGATCCACGTGCATCTCCAATTCTCCGGTCAAAGTTTGACCATCTTCCACCAGCCTTGTACGTCGCCGCTACCCATGATGTCTTGTTTGACGAAGGGATGGGTAAATTTTATCCACTTTCTAATTAATTATTTAATAAATATATTAATTAATTCGCTTTGTTGAAATATTCATTTTTATTTAGCTTTATATCTATTTTTAATTAAAATTCTTAGGTAAGTTGAGTATTTTGATGCTTATTTAGTGGTGAATCTATCTTTGATTTTATCTTTATTTTTCTGTTCCATGTTATTTTAAAGGTACAAAGGGCATTTTCTTTCCGATCGAAGCCAAGATATTTAAATAAACTCTACGAAGATGCTGAACATTACATTTGAATTTACAGAAGCTGCCAATTAACGTATCTATTTTTATATAATACCGAAGTAACGCCATATCTTTGTCTTTTAGAATATGCCCAAAAACTGAAAGAAGCGGGTGTTACGATTGAAACCCTTATGTTAGAGGGCATTACCCACTGTTCGATAAATTTCCCAAGTAAGTTATTTTTATGTCCCTATACTCTTCAGTACTCTTTAGTATGGCATTTCAGCATTTAAATTCACTTAGAATTGTGATAGACACCAATCCATTATGATAACCTTTATCATTCTTATTGCTATTATTGTTAACTTCATTATTGTTAGTTTCCATTAGATATTTTATCCTCACCCGTCCAGACTTTCGGATGCACACACCTCTATATCTTGTACTACGTCTTACAGTGCCTATTTCTTGTTTTTCAGATTATTACAAAGAGACGGATGCCATGACATGCAGGAAGATCGCAGAGTTCGTAAAAAAGCATTCTGAATAAACATCCGCCGTTCCAGTATAAATCATGAGAAGCAAGGTGTGGTCATATATGAGTATTTACTGCAAGATAGGATACACTGGTAACTAACAGCGACGTATATCGTTTGATTATAGTGGAGTATTAGTTATACATGCATATGCTTTCGATACCCAATATTTAAATCCGGCAACATTATGCCGATTAGTCCGTAGGGTTTATAGATTGTGATTTTCTGAATGGTTTTAGAAAAAGTTTTACTTTGGTGATTTTTAATCAAATTATGTAAAATTAACACGTTTGATGTAACACGACTTTGTTTTCAATTCAGTTCAGGCAAGGTTAAGGTATATTCCCTGAGGTCTTTCCTTGTTTTGTAATTATTCAGTATTAAGGGCTTAAACTTTCTTGGTCGGACTGGAAAATGTTTGTTTGTTTATAAAAGCAATGTGGCTAATCTTCATGTGTAGACAATGCACATAGAAAAAAATTATGAGTGATATATCAACTGTTTTTAAATTACGGTTAATATGCAGTTTACATGAGCTGTAGAGATATTACAATATACGATGAAGTGATGCAATATAGACTGATGTTTTCAAAATACAAACAATCGTGCAAAATCTTCATGAAAAATTGAATACGTGACATATGTATCTCTACAAGTGAAAACAACTTTGATCTGCTTATGATAGATTTTAAAATATTTAATTATCCATCTAGAAAATACTGTTCAAATAAAATGAAAAGATGACACATGACAAACCACCAAATAAACAAGCTGTCGGTAGTTGATAATGCTTTGAATGCATAGTAATGACTTCCCAGTTCCACAGTTAGCATACATTATATCAATACGAAATGATTTAGTTCCTCAGCAAATAGCAAAAATGAAGGCCTGCCGCAAATGTCCAGGAATTTCATCGTGTAAACGCGAACAAGTTGCTAACTTCTGATGCTCCTGTTAATATGCAACAATGCAACGTTTCTTTGCAAGCCCCTGAAAACATCTTTTAAAAGAATGTTCGCCGCAAACTAAATAGTTTCCATTTGCCACGGATGTCAAAACGTTGCTCAAAGCTTAGGGTTTGTTGCGCACTTCCTTCGAAATTCCTGACCTGCGGAGTGAATCCACTTGTTGCACACTGAAAAAGCAACGGTCAGTTATTGGTCAACTGCTTCTTCTATGCTTACACATGACAACTTCGTCTATGACTTACACGTGCAACAATGACAACACGGTGTCGAATAACTTCAAGCGCTGAGATATTGAAACACAACCATAAAAAAGACAACGGTCTTCTGTGACTTTATCTGACAGTGAAATGAAGAATGCATTTATCATTTTATATTTCCGTAAGTGTACAAAAATACATTAAATCAAAATCGGAATTAATAAAATACGCAAGTGCATGTAATCGATTAAAGAAGATGCGCCCCCTTTTTTAATCAGAAATGCACACCGTTAGGGGTGCGTCTATGTATAGATAGTTCATGTGCACTTACCCCATTTTGATCCCGATAACACTGGGCATGCCGCGTGCCTCGTGCGGTAATCTCCGATACCGCTTTGTCTGAGGTTGTACCAGAACACAGCGGAAGCCTGAAAATACAATAACACGTCATGTATTTTTGAAGTAAAAATACTTTGACTGGCGCTGTCTTCTTTGCGATCGTCAATTATAGAATTACCGCCTCGCTGACTATGGTCTTGCTGTCATTACATTTCGGATTTTAAAATATCTTTCAAAAAAGATCTTACCTTTTCCGGTAACACTTGAACCCCAAGTCTTGTGAATACCGTCGCTCCTCCTGCTTCGACATCTGACATCTAAATACAATGATTATTTTAATATTTATTATATAGACCATTACATTAAAATAAAGGAACACTATTTTTGGGAAAACATCCATCGATATTGCCCACTAAGAAATCAGTTACAGCGCTAATCATTATGAACTTTTTAAAAAAGTGAAATCCAATGTTAGGCAAATGCGCCCAAGTCAATTGAACTTACGTAAATCAACACGGTGGCTATTCTATTCCCCATCTCCCCGAAGATATCTGGTTCGCTTTTCTGAAATAAAAAAGAATCTGTCTGCATAAAAAAAATCATTTTGTACATTAGGTGTAAGCATTTTCTTCAAATCTCACATATTTGAAAAGCACTAAAGCCTAAAGCTCTAATTATTATCCAATACATGATATAATATGGTCTTTTAAATAAATTGATTACCCATTTTTCAAGGGTCAACGGTAAAACTGTCCATCAAATGATATGGGCGGTTATATATTTGACTCTCAAACATGAAAAGTAATGCTATGCTATTATTACTACTGTACATAAAAATGATTTATAAATGGATCTAGAAGATTGCAGTAATCACTTACCCTGCCGAAATCGTAATGTGGTTCATACTGCCCTCCCATGCCGTAGTTATTGACCTGTGCATAAATTGGAAAATTTTTGATGCACGAAGAGTTAGGAATTTTTACTTTTAGTAGAGAAAGCATACTTATAAGTTATGAGATGGTTATTTAGAAGATCGTAGCCCACTGCTATAAAGGGTTTTATAAGTTTTATATATATAATCCTTTTTATGTGTCTTATTGATAAGTAATTATTTTAAAGAACTTTTATTAATTTCAAATGTAGAATCACATGTTTTAGCCTCCAATAACCCTTAGTTAGGTGTGCTTTATTTTTATAAACGTGAGACGTTAACAGAATTATAATAATTATTATTATTGCTATAAATATGTTAGGTGTGACGATAAGCATTCATTGTGACAGTTGTGACACACGCTGAAACTTACCTGAAGCTGTTCAGCAAGCGTCATATCTAGACCACTGATGTCCGCAATACGCCTGTCAATACGCGCCAAGACGGGGTCGAGGGAGCCATCGAGGAAAACGCTGCCATTATAACAGGAATATAGAAGAAATCAAAAAAATCAAATCATCTACATGTAAGTGGTATTACGGGAAACTGCCTCATCAACGACACTCAATAATTACACCAGCTGTGATATGCGCTCTATTACAGTTGAACAATCTAACGATTTAACGACATGCTTATATATAATAAAAGACAGGTGGCATAAGACTGTACTTAGTAATACATCGATTTGTACCAAGGCAATGCGAAAAATTAAATAGATTAGCTTTGTACATGTACGTTGTTGTGATCAACTCAGTATTCTTGCAGTAAAATTGATTTGAAATCTTAATCGGCAACATGTCAGAATATTGTGTGCATTTGTAGGTTTAATAAAGGGTTTTCAGTCTACGTACCTTTTGCTGACCCTGTACTCGACATGCTCGTGTTCCCCCGTCACTGGGTTGTGAACTGTCGCTCTGTTAAGCTTGAAAAATTATGTACATGTTATTTAAAATGCATTCTCTTTCTGAAATCTACTAGTATGTTTTATTTTCAAAATGATTTTCTTAATTTCTGTACAAAAGAAGCATAACTATTCCACGTTCAGTTTAATTGTCTTTTTGTTCTATTTTTATATAGGCTTGTACTTACCCTTGGCGTTGCGATTTCTTTCACTCTCTCAGTCTCAAACTCCGTCATAATGTCATGCCACTTGACAATCAAGGGTTTCAGATTTAAGACCTCCAGTTTGATGGGTCTGAGGAGAAGATTGGCATTCTTATTGTCCTCGTATCTACATGTCAACTTTCTGGCGCTTTTTGAACGCTGAAATATAATAACATAAAGTTTAATGGTTTGAATATCTTTTGACAAAGGAGATTGTATCAGTTAAAAGCGCGTGAGTGCGTGCTTTTATGAGTGAAGGAGTGAACACTTCGCAAGTGAGTGAACGGTTTATATATAATTATTTATTTATTTATTTAGTGCTTAGAACCATAGATTGAGCGAGAATATATGAGAACGCACTATAGTCGTTACTTGGAAGCAAAGGCATCAGGGTTATCATTTATTTAATTTAATTTAATTTAATTTTTTTTTTTTTTGCCAAATATGCACTCCGTCACTTACTGGTTTCGTTTCCTCTCCTCTGCATAGCTTCTCGTACGCATCGTACTCCTCGTCACGATATCCCCTTATCGGCCTCTTATTGTCAATGCCCTTCTCCTCACCATCCTCGTCTTCGGCCAGTTTTCTTATTAGGAACTGGTGGTTGTTCTTTACTTTCTCGTCATTTGGGTCTGAAGAGAGCACAATATCATATCACTAGGTACGCGCATGCAAAGTGATTTTGTATATCTATATGCTTTGCCGTGGATAATTATACGTGTTTGGATATTTCAGGACAGATCGACCGAAGGCAACAAAGTGATATAATTAAAACTGTATATACAGAGACATAGGTAGCAAATTTGAAGCAGATAGCCACAGGCTAATGTACTGTACGTAGGGCCTAATGATTAAATAGTTGCACATGTAATTTTTACTTACCGATCTCTAGCATTTCCTTGGTGATATTAAAAGCATGTTGGACATTGCCTTGCTGAAAGTAGATTATTTACAATTTTAGTACAGTTTCATCCTCTCTCTCATTCTCTCTCTCTCGCTCTCTCTCTTTCTCTCTCTCTCTCTCACACACACACACACACACACACACACACACGGATTCCAGTCGGTACATCTAATAATTTTAGTTTTCATTTTTCACAAAAACGGATAGGTGTGTCTACTTTTTGGGGTGCAGTTAACCCAAGCCCCTCAAACGAATCGCGTTAAGATTTAAGTTTTATAAGGAATATTATTATAACATTCAGAATGGTTTTTGTGCCAGATAACCACTGAATCTACCTTCAACACACAACACTCATGTTTTCACTTACATTATATGTTGCGAAAGCTAAATAATCCAATACGAGGTAACGAGACACGGATGAGTTGTTTTCTTTCTCCAGACGTCGGAGAGCCTCCTGCATCCAGAGAAGGCAGTGGTAATTGTCGCCCTCGTCGTACGCGTACTTGCCCAAATTGAAACAATCCGTTGCTATGAATGGGAGCATACATATTTTGTTGTTAGGAAAACAAATATTTAATCAGAGAATTGGAGTATAAGTAAAGTATTTGCCCTGCCTAGTAATGACTTAAGTATTTTAAAAATTACTATTCAAAATACTTTTTTTTTTCAAATGAACAGTTTCGTCTCCCCCTTAAAATCGTGCTCTAAACAGCGCCACTGATTAAAATTAGGTCATTTCAATTTAATAGATAAAACATAATCAAATTCTACCTGTAAGTCCAGGAGACCTTTTCACGCCATGCAGAACCCCGTCTGCAATGTCTGATGTATTGAGCTGGTACGTGTCTTGTAGCCTCAGGAGGGCAGCTGCGGCGCCTTCGAGGTCGGACACCTTTGGGAGCCGACCCTCTTCTCGAACTTGTTCGAATTTGGACATCAGAGTTTTTACTGTAAAACATCAGTTCATGTATATACTTAGAGGTGATAGAGGGTAAATATGGGTAGATACATGAATGAGTAATCAATTTATGTGCATATAAATAAATATACATACAAATACCGGTAGGCCTACATGAAAATAAAGACAAAAAGAAATGAAACAACAAATAAATATAGGAGCAAACAAACGAAGAAAAAATACCTGGGACTTAGCGTATAATATACCACCGTAAACAAATGGTTTTGTTTTGTTCAGATTTATGGGTTACCAACGTTCCAATTTTGATTTTAAAAAAGCACTTTAAAGTGTGTCAGATTGAGGGGGGAAACTTCGAGTTAAATGAAAAGACTTCCATTAGACATGCCTATATATAAGGACAACTCAAAGTCCATAATATAACAACGAGCAGGGGAAAACTTTATAAACGCTCGTCCACATGCCACTGAACAATGGAGATATACTCATAAGCGGTAATTGGTGACACACACGCACATATAAATGAATTATTACGTGTAGACTACATTGTAATTCATCAAGGATGCCATTTTCAAAGAAAGCATTCTAATTTTCATCTGTAAACAACTTAAAGAGACATTGTTTTTAAATTCGTGATTGTTTTTACCATTTATTTTAATACTTCAACAACGTATCGTGCATTGCATAAATATACATATGGTTGTCGAGCTAATTTCTTACGTCTACGGAAAGTCAAAACAAACTTCAAACGTTTCATGTTCTTTTTCACGAACATGACAACAATATAATGCTTAAAGGTGCTAATTGCAAAAAATCATAGTCTTGTGACACTTTTCATATATCAGAATGTATTGCATATTCCTGATTATTCTAAATTGATATCTTTCATAATTTTTCTTAAATTTTACCTTTGACATATTGACATTCACTTACCGGGAACCATCTTTCATATAGCCGAAAGGTTTAAATACAAATTGTTATTCAACTTTAAAATATTTATCAATATTTATCAAAAATTATTCAGTGAACTGTACCTTCGCTGTTTTCATTTTCTAGGGACGCCCTTAAACCGTCCCAGTCTACCGTGAAGCGTTTCATGAAGAGGTAAGCGTTCACAGGGTTCCCCATAAACTTCTCGCTGTTTGCCAGGGCCTCCTCACTGTGCTTTTCATATTCATCAGCGACTCTAAAATAAATAAATGAACAGATAAATAAGTAAATAAATGAACAGATAAATAAGTAAATAAATGAACAGATAAATAAATAAATAAATAAATAAATAATGTTCAAGGACTCAACTTAATAGTGGTAAAATGTTTACTGGAATTACACACACTGGACAAAAGAAGTGTCACCCCCTAACTCAGAGTAATGAAAGTAGGCAGATCTTGTGTACTTATAATGCCTGGTCTACTTATAATGTGACTAATGAGTATAAAACCGCTATACCATGGAATTGTATTGTTGGTCTTGTACATGTACAGCAAATGTTATTCCTGTCTTCTTCCAGTATGGCAAGATACAGGTAATTATCTAACGGTTATAGGTGCAAGTTATTAACCTGAAGAGGCGGAATATATGCAATGTCAGAATATCGATACAATTGAATTGTTCAGTCAGAACCGTGCAGAGGGTCTGGTCTCGGTATAGAAACGCTGGATCAAGAGACAAATTGCCTCTGATGGGTCGTCCAAGAAAAAATACTGGCCGTGAAGACCGGCGACTGATTTTGATGTCCAGGTTGTCAAAGTTCGACACTGCTTGTCAGTTGACAACACAGTGGAGCAATTTCACACATAAGAATGTGTCTGTGAAAATTGCTAGGCGTCGGTTACATGCTCAGAGAGTGTACAGCAGGGTAGCAAGACTGAAACCTCTTATATCGTTACAAAACAGGCAACGTAGAGTAAACTAGGGTCAACAGGATCTGGAACTGGACAGTTCATGACAATTGGTCCTATATATTTTTTCTGATGAGTGTCGCTTTGGTCTGA